AGGGAAACTATCCGACGAAGCGCTTTATCTGAATTTACAATCTAACGAACAATTTTCATCGAAAACACGGGCAACGATGGCGTTCTCTACACTCGCTTATCAGAACTCTACAGGGGCCCTAAACTCGTGAAACACGAAGTTGTTGCCGAAGTTGAGGGAGCGCACCGATTGGACAATCACGACGATGACTTGGCGCTTTTGTCGCAAACATCCAATCGGCGCGCTCCGCGAACTTTCGGACCGAACTTTGTGTTTCACGAGTTTAGGGCCCCAGGAAGCCCCTCCGCTGCGAATAAGAAGTTGTTACCGTTGCGCACCGCTAAAACAACAAGAAGCGTCAACTAGAACTGAAATTGCGAAATTTACGCGAAAGTCATTTGAGCGACGCAGCGAACGTCCGCGAAGCGTATGAACGAGCTGTTGTCGCGGCGCATACGCAGGGGGGATAGACAACGTAATTGGAAACTATCTTAGCATATGTGTCTCCTGAATAAACACGACACCGCCCATATGGTGTTAGGGGATGACTTAAAAGAGGCATACGTTGGAGGAAACCGAGAACCAAGCATACGGTCATGGGTCCCCGGCGTCGGTTGGGATCGAAGATGGCGAAATGGGAATGGCCATGGCGTTCGAGTGACGTGTCAGTGACGTATAGTTGCCGAGCGGTCAACCAGGCCACGACAGCCGGCCAAACTCTCCCCCATATATGGCTCTGATGCGCCTCCGTGGCGCCATCTCTATAAACGTATTTCATTGTACTCTCCAGGGGGCATCGCTAAAACTTAAAAGCTCAATGCCTACAGGCCGAGAAACTGATGGAGAGGATGAACATCTCTTCAAGCTCCTCAGACCTCTAAAACAGTTCTGACGGATGAGCAGAAGTCACTGTCAATTAACACATATATCCGGATTACATTGAGTGGCTCTTCGATGAAATGGAAAGCCTTGGAATTAAATTGAAGATAAATTAGGTTAAATAATTTGCGCTTAAATTAAATTGATGACAACTTAGATCAAATTCATTTCCGCTTTGATTACATTGATGCCCCCTTGGATTAACTTGGAGTACGGCTGAGTTAAGGCCCCTACACACAGTTGCGTTGGAAAGCGTTTGATTGCGTTTGACTGTGTTGCGGCTGCGAAAAACCAGGACATCCCTGCTGCTTATACTGCGGTCCAAGATGATTCCTTGAATTGGATTCCACGCTTCATACGAAGCACACATGAACCGGTGACTCGCTTTCGTTTCTCGACGCAACGCAGTCAAACGCACTCAACCACTCCCAAACGCAAATGTGCGTAGGGGCCTTTAAGTTCAGGGACGCTGGCACTAAAAAGAAAAACTGGCCCTTGGATTATTATCAATGGGGAAACCTATAAACAAAATGGAGCACCACTGTGAATACCAAGAGAACGTGCACGGAGACGCTCTTTCACGCGCTCTAGAGCAAAACAGAAATAAAACCAAACGTCACAAGTAAAATGGTGCTTGCCACAACATTTGTGTTGTTGTGTCTCGTGTTTTGAAGGATGGCTTAACAGCTAGTTGACAGTTTGGGGCAATTAAACACTCTGTCATGCAATAAAAACTAATAAGTGATTTCAGAGGTGTGGAAAAGTGAGAAAGGCATTTTCTTTTATTTCAAAAGGGCAATACTTAATCTTATCCTATTATGTGCAGTGCAACTAATTAGGATAAAACATAAGCTTGTGGTACGGACTTTTTTTACCGCTCCAGAAAGCATTGTTGGTTGCTCTAAAGGGTGTTTTGAAACGATTTAAGCCAATCACATTACTGAACACTTTAAAGTGTTCAGTGATCTGATTGGCTTAAATCGTTTTGAAACACCCTTTACAGCAACCAACAATGCCTTTTGGAGCAGTGAAAAAACTTTGTAGCATAAGCTTATATTTAATTCTAATTATTTGCACTGCACATATTAATATAGGATTAACTATTGCCCTTTTGAAATAAAAGACAATGTCTTGGGGTACAATTAACCTTAAAAACAAAAACTAGCATAGCCAAGTTTTTTTTTTATGTACTATACTGCATTTGGAGAACATATACACACCTATTGAATTATTTTAAATCGTTCTGCTTTCTCTTAACAACAAAACGTTGGCACTTTCCAAGCATGGGAACACTTCATATAAGCAGTGTATTATTCTCAAAACATTAGGGCATTACAACCACAACTATACTGCATATTTATAAAGTGCCTATAATGGAGAAAAAAAGCCCAGATGGCAATTGTTTGTATTCTTTTAGTTTCCAAGCCTGATATACAATTCTATACTAAAAATAGTTTCCTGTAAAAAATAAACCTTTTAAAACAACCGTTTAGGTACTTCTGAAACATCGTGGAAATGGAAATTTGAAGAGCAGTCTTTTTCCAGGACCGCGAGTGTTCGAACACTCCAAAGAACCCCAGATATATACTGACCTAAATAACTGAAGGGGCACAAGCGCAAGAACGTCGTGAAAAAGCGCAGGGGCTCTTTTTCTTCCCTGGAAAGAGTTACAGTCGAAAGAACGGGATGGGCCGAGTGGCTCGGCCGACGCACCAAAACGTAGTAGCGGCCAACGTACCAAAATGTAGTGATTCTTTGATCGAGAGGCGACGATGTTGGTGGTTAAACGATCAGGCTGCTACTTGGCGACAGGAGACCTCTAGGAAGGGCCGGTAGAGCGGCCGGGCTATGGGGTGCCCTGACGAGCGACGAGGCAAAGGTGATTGACTTTTAGGTTTAGGTTTGATGAATCATAGACCGGTAGATCAAAACTGAAAAACACGAACGTCGAAAGATGCCAGAGTTCGTGCTCCAGCTGGCGCTTATAACAGCACAAATCGCGTCCGTGACGACGCACCAATCTAGTAAAAGCCAACTACCAAACTGCCACTGAACGGGAATCCGCGACTGAATTGGAAAGTTAACGGGCTACGTACGTGCTACAGCCGGGAGATAACAGCAATGACGGGTGCAGCTTACGTCAGAAATGATCGCAACGGGGAAACCGACGTCCACAAACAATCACTACCCGGCATCCATCTGGAAAAATAAGCTCCGCACAAAAGCTAAGACCTAAAAAGACACTGCGCGCGTTAATCTTTACACTAAAATTACATATAAATATAGTTTTATTCTTTAAATGCACAAACAACATAATAATACGTTAAATATGTTTTCAGAACCGCTTTTAGTGAAGTGGAGAAATACCTAATTATCCAAAAACGTAAAAACAAAAAATGTCATTTTTTTTTTCTTAAACAGGTTTCGGTTAAGGAACATTAAAATGATATTTTCTGTATGACAACAAAAAATGTCTGTAAAAATGTTTGTAATTTCGCATACATTTTTTTTATAGTGTACCATGAAATATTCATGGAATAAACCACAAAGGGAGACTTCTATGCCAGAAAATTATATCTAAAACAAGATGACGCTGATTTGTTGATTCCAGCCTGCACCAAGGATATACCTGCAGCGAAAGCTCAAACTAGTACAACTTGTGGTACGCACTCGAACTGTATACCTTAGAGCGGTGTTTGAGATATGAGGTATGCTGGTCACCGGGCAAATGCATGTCGGTAAAAGATTCAACTCCGTAAAAGCTTCATCACCGTTATTGCTTCGCATCGGTGACGATCTATCCGGTCCTTGCTTTTGTTTTTCTTTTTTAATGTGGTCAAACGACGCCGACGTGCTGTCTGCGTCAATGATATCTATTGAAATAGGTTGGATCCCGGATTGGGAGCCCGTCGGTGCACGGCGCCACCAGCGGCCATTGGTTGACACCAGGCAATACGGAGAGCAAGTCGGCTGCTTCTTGGGCAGGAGTTGCGGTCAGGTCAGAAGGACGCCGAACGCTGATTGGCTTTTATTGAAAGGATAGTGGGTAGACCTCAACGCTAGACGCCGCTATTTTTTTTTTAATCATCCAATAAGAGTTTGGCATTCCGACATCATCGAAACACTTGTGCAAGAAGCTGGCGAACCTGCGCTCTGCATACACGTAAGTCTACGGGCGAAACACACAAAAATAGGAATATTGAAGGTTGTACGCAGTACTCGAAGGCGAGAATTCTATGATGTGCTGCGATATTTACATCGGGTGTGTGGAGATCGAATAGGAATTTGTCAAGCGCTCGAAACCCGATCAGAAAAATTAAATGTGCCGGAGCACCACCCACTGTGCCGGCATTGCTTGCTTCAGTTGGTAAATAAATTACACGTTCAACAAATGAACGACACGCACCGAGTTTTAGTTCAACACAGAAGCCCGCACTGCAATTCAAAGCAAAAGTTCGCATCAGAAATGCTGTGTTAGAGGGCTTGGAAATATGCGAATGTTCCTGGCCTTCTAACTTATTGTCTGCTAAACTCTCATGACTTCGAGATCACAAAAGACATCGCAGTGTATTTCAGCAACCCTTGTCTTTATTTAACGGCATCGCAGTTTACGCCCAACAAAGTCGCAACCCTCGACCCTCAACCACAATTTATCTTGTAAAGAAACTGGTACTCTAATGCTTTTAATATTTGCATCCCAGAATATTAACTGTCATTCCCGGAAAACACGAAGTTTAATCGCTGATACCATCCTTCTCAAGTAAGAAATTCCAGTTTTCCCCGTTTCTGCCATTGTATCCCATGCATTAGCTGATGTCAAGCGATGGCCACCCGTGGTTCGGATTGGCCCCAGCAAGAAAAGTGTCGATCCGCGATCCAGCCTACCATAATAGAGATCAGCAGTCTGCGTTCAAACGGGCAGCAGACGGCATAGGCCTGCGTTCGTCGACAGCCAGTTGGGCAAAAGTGGAATGAGATTGAGACGCCAGTTCATTACGTAACATCCAGAAAGTACGGATGCATGGAAGTCATGGTTAGGTTCGCGTCAGCCGAATAAGAAGTGTTTTGGGGACAGCGTTAAAAACCTCGCGAAGCAATGCCAGAGCGATTACTTTTTAAAAGTAAATATTTCAGCAACAACACAAAGTACATTTTTTTATTTTTTTATATATGTTGAAAACATGTAATCGATTAACATTTTAGCTAATTTTAAAAATATTGATCACCATTGCCCACATGGCTTTTATTTCGCTCTTATATCGCCTTTTCTGCATACACATGAGATTTCATGATTTAATTATAGCACGAAGAAACGAAGCTTTAAAATCTTAATACAAGCAGTTCAATTACTCAATTGTGAACATAAAAGAGGAAACAAAAGATATTGAATCTCAAACCTGACACCAATTTCAATAAAACACATTTTACAAAAAATGTTTTGACTTCTATTTGGACTTAAAATGGCGTTAATTAGTGTTGCTATTTTAATGCAATATAGGGCATATAAATGAGTAATTAGGTACCCCCTAACGTTTCATGGTACCCCACAGTTTGTTCGCAATATTTTTCTAAACTACATGTTATACATTTTTCAAAACTTTTGACTATGATATCAGCAAATATAAAATGGATTTCTGTACAACAAAATACTGTTTTTAGAGTTTATAGATGTTCAAATTTATGTTTTCATGCGTATCCTCGACTTAAAAAGTTCCCGCACCTCTTCTGGCATCGAATGATCCATTCCTGTCGAACACATTAAAAGACGCGACGGTCTACAAGAAAATTCCTATTTCCAATTTTTCTTGTACGATATATTGTCACCACATTCGTATTACCTTAAGTAAATTGTAATTGGAGCGGTGGATACAAGAATTCAGTAAAATGTAAAAGCATGTACAAGGTACGGCTTGATTCACTGTTGATATTCACTATATTACCATACCCCATAAGCACGTAAATATGTCCTTCAAAACGTGTCTATTCCTGACACACTGGTACCGTAAAGTAACTTGGGAGTTTCTGTGTCCGTAACATTAAGAACAAAATGCTTTTCGTCTCTGATCCTAAAAGAACAACTTCCAAGGTTCACACACGTCGTTCCGATACCCGCAAACCTCCGTAAAGTTGTTGGCTGCCAGAAACATTGAAACCGGGGCATCCTTTGTGTACCTCGGCCACGTGTTGACGCCTGGGAGCTTCGGGACACTGCGTAAACAAATGACGCCATTAAAGAACATTCGATTCACCTGAAATATGTAATTATTCAAAGGCTGGATCTAATTGCTTTGTCGGTAGCGCTTTGGCTGATGTTTTGCTTTCCAGTGGTACCAACCACTGTATAAAAACAAAAACAAAAATTATAACAACGAGGAAAATATTTTAACGAGGCATTCTATTGTAGTTCTGATAAAAACGTTGATAAGCCGAGTTTGTTTCGTTGTTAGAACAGTACATTAAGCGTTAGCATTTTAGAAATATTCTTTTTTTGTCATTATTTGGGTAGGTTACTCGAAGTGTGAAAGGGTGCAGAGGGCGGTTGTCGTTTGTGTTTATGCGATATTTGAGTATCGTTTTATACAAGGGTAATCGTAAATTTCATTAGTGGAGTGTTTAAAACGGCATCTTTAAGTATCTGCTTTGTTAGTAGAGCTTACCTGCTCAATTACCTTTCGTGTAATATGTATAGGAATTATGCTGATTTATGCTTTAGCTTCAAACCAGAAAATTCGTAAATTAATACGTCGACGTACCCTCTTCTTGCGAATGACGTAAGCATTGTGACCATGGCCTCACTCATCAGCCTGTCTTCGTCGCTGTAGCCAGCATCACTGTCAAGAGGTAGAGCCAAAAAGAAAGCAACCTCTGTGTGGTGCGGAGCTCCCATCCATGACGGAAGTCCATACTTCTTCGATTTATGAGCGTAAACGTAAAAATATACGGGGCTCCCTCTTGCTGAGTGTTTTTCGGCAAGAAACTGTCCAGGGCAGTTGAATACTCTGTCCGATAAGTAGTCTATGTAAGCACGGCGCAATCCTTCTTTGTCTCCTGGAGGTACCCTGCCCATATACTCCGAAAGGAGACTGGTGTCGTCAGATTTCAACAAGGATAGCACCGACTTGCGAATCGCATGGTCAAATTTGTCCTGTGTGAGGTTTTCTAGGGATTCTTTCAAAAGTTCTGTGGTGGGAGAGAAGAGGATTGTCGAAGCTCCTTCGTCCGTCGTAACTCCCGTGAGGATCTCGACATCTTGAAAGAAGCCACGGTCTACGGCAAATGTTGGGTCTTTCGGGAAAAATGAGTCGTGGTACGTCGGGAGGAACGTTAATTCAACCGCGTCAGAGAGCTCCGGTGTGGCCAGGGCCAATTCGTCCGCCTTCTTTGACCGTAAGCACTGCAGAACTTCGTCGGGGTGGGACGCAAGATCTCTGTTCACTTTCGCACAACCAACCAGCTGAGCAACTTTGTTTCCCTTGGTGATACTTTCGTGGGCACTATCAAAGAAATCAATCGTGTACATAGAGCCGCTCATCATCACTGCTCTCTTGAAGAGCCCCTTGCTCATCGGAGATAAGACTTGACTGTGAACACTCATGCTTCCCGCACTTTCTCCGAAGATAGTGACCATGGAAGGATCTCCTCCAAAGGCTTTGATGTTGTCTCGTACCCACTTCAGTGCAAGATTCTGGTCCAAGAGTCCTTGATTACCAGGGGCGTCTGGGGAATAGGCGTTGAGGAAGCCCAGCATTCCTAAGCGATAGTTCATGGACACAACTACAAATCCTGTCTTGGCCGCCAGAACTGAACCGGTGTAGATATCGTATGACGCGCTACCACAAAAGAAACCACCCCCATGTATCCAGACAAGGACGTTGCTTTTCTGGGCGTTTTGGGGCATCCAGACATTTAAGTGTAGGCAGTCTTCTGTATATATGAGTGGTTTCTTCGTGTTCTTAAATAGGGGCTTCTGGGGACAAGCGCTGCCTCCAGTCGTCGCGTCGTAGGTTCCTTTCCAAGGTGATCGAGGTACTGGCTCTTTGAACCGTAAATGTCCAATCGGTGGTTCCGCGTACGGAATTCCAACGTACTCCTCGATTACATTCCCAAGGATTTTCAGCCGGTTTCCTCTCAGCTTTCCAAGCTTAGTTTGGCGTTCGACGTGGTCAGACTGACAGTGTGCTGCGGTCACAAGAAGCGCAATCCAGACTGCTTTCGTCATCTTCATAGTTCCTGAAAAAAAAAAACTGCTGGTTAAATTGGCATCAAAAGGCATAAAACGAGTACTGCTACTAATATGAGGCATAACGTTCTGATAAAAATGAGCCAATATAAAAAGCACGAAAATATGTTGTCAGTTTTTTCAAAATGGCGCCTAAAAATTACTGCTTCGCCGAGGGAGAACAGTGCTCTTTTAGTGGCAAATCGGATATTTTTGGTAAGAGAGAAGCACCTTTATATCTTTATTGATAACTCAAGTGTCTAGCATGCGTACAGTCCCGAAGCCGCCATTGAATACATGACTCTGCGAAATATCCTGGAATGTGGACACGAACCGTATCAGCGGAATTTAAAAAGTGGTTTTGTCATTGTGTTTACTACGAAATAGCATGTGGGTAGTGTTGTTTATTAGTGTTGTAATAACAGCATATTTTGGTTTTGCAATTCTAGCTTGTAAAATATTTCTAATATAACTAAGCACTGTTTTTCTTGACTTTTGTATTCTCGTTATTATATATAGTGTTATGAAAGTTGCACTGCAATTTTATTATCTATATATATATATATATATATATATATATATATATATATATATATATACGTATATATATATATATATATATATATATAAATAGAGAGAGAAAGAGAGAGAGAGAAAAAAAACGTAGCGCAGGATAACGAAAAGTTAGTACGTACGAATAATGTTTTAAAAACTTCAACAACCGTCTCAATTGCGTTTTCTGTCGTATATATATATATATATATATATATATATATATATATATATATATATATATAAAAGATGTGGAAGTCGGTTTAATAGTGATCTAATTAGCTAAGACGGTTTAATAAGCTTTTTCAAACTTCCTCCTTCAGGGGCATGTTGTCCTTCCAAAGTGATTCTTCCGACTCTCATCTTCCGACTGTCAATTAGAAATTTATGGTCCGTCGACAGTGGGCCAACGGACCATAGATTTCTGCTATTCTGAGCGAACCTGTGCTTTCAGCAATTTATGTTCATGTTATCAAGTATGGTACGTCAGAATATAAAAAATAACACGCAATTCTATTGTTTGTTTTGAGCGATGTTTTACGCAGATCAAATAATTTGCTACGCGTTGGAATACAGCTCCTCTCAGATCCTTCCACACACATCTGTAGCATCCCTCCACCAGCCCTGCGTAACGTGTTCTCTGCGTAAATCAGTGCGAGCTTACAGTACTGGTAACGACGTGCTTCAATCATCTAGGTGCGAATTAACACTGACCACCCTTTTATCTTATTTGTTTCCAAAGAGTCGCTTTTAGGAGAAGCAAAACACAAACAAGTTCATTGAAACTCGGCGCATGACGCCACATGTCCGTCAGGAAATAGCTCTAAGCGCACCAGGTACACAGGACATGGCAAGGTATCTTCTAGACATCCCTATGCAGGAAATGACATTGCTGCAATCGACGTTAAAACCGCCGAAAATCGAATCCCCGAAGTGTGCTGAGAAATACCGTTATCCATGCACACAGGAATGACTGCATTTCTTTTTACTTTCATTAATTTTATAAATAAAAAGAGCGCGAGAATTGCAGGGCGTGACCTGCCCCCCAGCGTATTGATTCCAAAATCACTTGATAAGAGCGCTAAAGAACGAATCACGAAGGAGGGATCAGAATATGCCACGCCACTCCCTGTGCTTCTTATTTAAAACTTTGGATTAGGCTAGTTGGTTCCGTATGATATGGAGGACTTAAAAGTGCAAAATTTCACGGATGAGGAAGAGAGACAAATGCAAGACGCACTGGAGCTAACTTTCAATTGATTTCTTCGAGGCAGTCAAACCAGCAGATACGCGTGAACGCTCTTACCTGTCTTGCCTATCCCTTGTGATGAAAGCTTTCACATAAACACGAACAACACGCGACAATGCTTCAAACATTCATGTCAGTTCAACAACGTGTCTACACAAAACCATCTAGAAAAAGATACTTACCTGTCATTCAGTACAATTGACGTCTGACTGACGCAGTTCTCACCTGAGGATTTTGTAAGATGCGTTTTGACTAGCTATTTCTCTTTCGGACTTGCTATTTGATCCGGCTAACCGCGAGTATAGGGTGTCAGCCTTACAAAAGTCTTTCTTGCAATATGTTCTTATTCGGTACGGTTGAACCTACCTTCGTCTTGAGAATCGATGGATCAACAAGAGTAGATGGGCATTGCTGTGGCTCCGGCAGCGAGAAATCGACTGTTGCAGAGCGAGGTAGGTAGAGGGGCCCTCGACGGCTAATCAGGACCTAGGAATGTTTATCCCGACAGGTCCTACGGAACCATGTTCGAGTATAAAAACGCCTCTCCTAACACCTCTCAGGTTTTCGTCCGCGTTATCTGGCTTTTCCACTTGTGCTAGAGAGGAGCGTCTGCCCCTGAAGATAATATGGCGAACTGGAGAGACAATACAGCCACCCATATCTTGTTTTTGTCCTTCACCACATAAAACACCCTAGTTTGTTTGTTTTTTTGCGTTGTAGCGTAGAAGTGTTACATACAAAATCGAAGTGCTCTTTGGACGCTAAAATCATCCTTCCTCTCAGTGCTCAGGAGTGGCAAGGGAGACATTGAGTGTGCCTTCTGACTTACAATATTTTTTTCAGATATTATTTACGGGGATCCTCCAACGAATTTCTTCGTGTTTGTAGAATTTTAAACCAATGCCAAATGGAACTGCAATATTGTTTGCGCAATACTGACGTTTCGTTTGACTTGATAGCACGGTCAAACTTTTCGGGTGGTGTCATTTACGAAAATGAAGTCTTCGAGTAAATTGGACGTTTCGATACATAGGATTCTGAGATTATTTTTGATTAGCACCTAAAAATAACAAAAACAGGTTGTTTACAAGCATTCATTTATGATATTGCTTTTTTTTTGCTGAGGTGACTTGTGCGGCTATCTTTATATTTTAAGCCCTCCTTCCCCCCCCTCCCCCCCCCCCCCCAGTCCATGTCTCACTATAAGTTTCTGCACGGCAAAATATTTTGTATAATGGCATTGTGTTTGATCTCGCGAATGAGAGAAATTGCTCACCACTAGGATGTTTTCACGTCCTTTTTTGGGCCTTTTATTTGCGGCTTGATGAATCGCCATTTTTTAGTTTATGTCAATAAATGCGCGCGCAAAGCTATGCCACCTACATGAACAGAGCAGCGAAAGAGGGCAGAGACGATATTACCTTCTTTGGTAGATTCTAGGCATTGCCGCTACGCCTCGTCGATTTACCTGGAAAGGAACAAGATGTTAAACAACTGAAAGTTTATGTTAGTCCGTCCATTCGTGGTGATAAAATTTTCGTCGACTCCACTCTTGTCAAATGTTAGAAGGAACGCTCTCGTTAGTGTTCCCAAACTCAGCGAAACTTCGTGAATATTAGCTTTCGAAATTAACGCTTGTTTTCCGCAGTGATATTATCCCGAGGCTTGGTCACGAAGTGGGAAAAGTTTACAGTTGTAGACAAAACGATGGGGGTAGACTTCTTTTTTCCACCCCCGTAAACTTTTTTTTTTCTTCCTGCCTGAGTCTTGGGTTTATTTATTTATTTTTATTTATTTATTTATTGTACCCTCAGGGCCCGAGGGCATTACAGAGGGGAGTGGGTTACAAAGTAAAATCACAAAAAAAACAAAATGACAACCTAAGAATAGAAACACGAACATAAGAAATTTTAACTTAGAAAAGTGGTTAAACAACGCTTAAACATGATGGCATCTGTTACAGACACAACTGACGATGGAAGGTGGTTCCACGTGATTGTTGTTTTGGGGATGAATGAATTATAAAAAGTAGTGGTTTTACAAACAGGTATACCGATTTTGTGTTGGTGATCGACGCGTGGCGAGACATATGAGGGAGGGGTTAGTAATTTTTGATGCAAGGAAGAATTGTGATGATAAATTTTATGAAACAGACAAAGACGGGATAACTCACGACGTGAAGAAAGGTTAGGTAGGTTTAAAAACGTTTTCATGGATGTTACGCTTGCACTACGGTGATAGTTAGTAAGAAGGTCACTATTGTAAACTTCCAGCAGCACCCCTTCACATCAGCTGTACTTTAGTTCGATATTTTTTGCTGTTTATTGCTCCGTTTTCCACACGGCTAAATTATGTTACAGTGCAAAATTTTTTTTTCAGCGTATTTTTATTACTATTGTATAGAAATGTCCATTGAAAGCCTTTTTTTCTACAATATTGTCTCTTCGAGTTTTTTTTTTGTTTTTTTATTCGCGTGCCTTATATTATTGTAATATGAACGGATTCAATAGTTTGGGATGACTCGCATCAAGTTGCTCATTGAAACCGTACCTTTAAAGTTACTGATGAACGATCTAATTCCATGAAATACTTAATTACCTAATTAGCGAACGCTAATAATTTTCCTTAAAGCGTTCTTTGCACACAGACAGCTACGGTATCAGCCTTACTCTGCGATGCTCAGTGTGCGCCGGAGCGATTAGGCCCGCATTTCTGAAAGGCACTTTATATGGTGAATGAAGTTATTATTATTATTATTATTGTTGTTGTTCTTGCCGTTGTTGTTGTTGTCGTCGCTCGCGTTATTGTTGTTTTTGCTGTTGTTGTTGAAAGTGCGGTTAAACTTACCAAGAAAACACGAAGGTGATCATATTTTTCTATCACCGACTCACACTGCTCCCACATCATATACTGACCGTCTGCAGAACCGACACGACTTGTGTTTCTTCTTGCGGGACGTTCCTATCACATTTTCTACGCAAAAACGGGCTTTCTTTCTGCCTTTGACGTACAGATGTGTGTGTCAGAAACATACTTCTCGCATGTGTACAGAAGGATTGCTTGCGGTACTTCCTGAAATTTACTGGTACGTTATCGATATATCTTCCTGGTTTCTGGTGTGAAAAAAAAATGAGGACTTGTACCTCAACGGAAGTACAAACTTGCCGAAGGTTTCGTGGGTGCATCTTCAGAACTACCTATTCGACGAGCCTGGTCCATATACCTGAGAACGACCTAAAACCTACAATTCTCTAGACGCGTTCAACTACTTCGTGAACGGCATGACATCGACGGTGGGCACCCACCTCTCCAGGCGCCGAAGATACGCGCCAAGCTTCCCGCAAAGGTCGTCGAGCCGGGTCTTGATTTTAGCAGACAAGCCTCCGAAAGTTCTCATTACGTTGCCTTTAGCGCGTCGCGGGTCTCTGTAAAGCACAATTTTCTAGTGTTTTGGCTTGCTTGCTATGATAATCAAGGTTTCTTTCGCAGATCACTGCGCACATTGCATTTGTACGTGCCGTAATGGCTCGTCGTTCTACGGGAAAGGTCCTTCGAGGCGCCGCATTTTCGCGTTTGTTGCATCGCCCCATCTCTCGGCAGCACATCGAAATATGCTAGCACCGTCTGCCAATGCCGTCGTCTTGCGGTCACCCAGGCTCGGCGGCGTCGGTGGGGTCTCTGCTCTAAAGATAGTCGAACGCACCTCACTTGTGACTTTTTGTTTGGTGCGGTAACCTAAAAACACGAGACTGGGACATTTCTTAAGAGTTGATCCCGCGAAATCGCTCGCTAACGAATCCAGAGTCGTTGCGCACACACACAAAAACACAAGGTAAACATAAGAGAATCGGAAGTGTCTCTCTCCCTCTGTCATGGCGACCAGAAGTGACGCGGATGCAGTGTATAGGAACGCAACTTCATATTGTCTTGGGCGTTCTTTCTTCCATAAAAGACAAAAAGCAGTTTCTAACGCACATGTGCTTACTTTTTTATGCATACCTATGTGCTTTGGAAACACTAAAGGGAATGTATAATCCGAGACGTGTTCCGCTGGCCTCCAGAGTATGCCCTATTTTAATACACTGCTCAAGTGCGGAACCTCGAATGAGTGAAACGTCCCTCGCAGAGAAAGGAACGTCTTTCCCCGCATTACAGTGTTTTTAGTAGCACTACATATTCTGTCAACTTCAATACAACTAAGACCTATCCGGTCTTAGTTGTTCTTAAGTCTGGTCAGACGACACGGATGCGCAATCTGCGTAACTGGTATATATTGTAGTAGGCTGGATTGAGGATCGGGAGCCCGTCGGTGGCACCACCGGTGGCCATTGTTTGACACCAGGCAATATACACGCAAGTCTAAGGGGAAAACACACAAAAGCAGGAATCCTGAAGCTTGTACGTGGTGCTCGCAGGCGAATATTTTAGGATGTGCTGCGATAATTATATCGGGTGTCTAGATATCGAATTAGTGTTTGTCGGGCGTTCGAATGTCAATTAAAAAAATCAAATGTGCCGGAGCATGACCGACTGTCCCGGCGTCGCTTCAGCAACGCCAGCGTCATGCTGGCGTTGCTCAATAAATTACGTGTTCAACAAATGAACGACACGCTCCGAGTTTCAGTTCGTCGCGGAAGCCCTCCCTGCACTTCAAAGCAAGAGCTCGTACCTAAATACTCTGTACAAGCGCTTAAAACGATGCAAATTTCCCCAGTAGAGGCCTTCTAACTTATCGTCTGCTAAGCTCTGACGACTTCGAGATCACGAACGACTCCAAATTGACTCTCATCAACCCTTGTCTCATTTAACCGCATCCCAGTTTAAGCCCAAGAGAGTCGCAGTTCTCGACCCTCAACCACGAAACATTTATTTAAAGAAGATTTGTGCCCAGAATATCATGTCATTCCAGGAAAACGCGACAAACGTTTCATCGGAGAGAACAACTTACTAAGGTAAGAAATTGCAGTTTTCCCTGTTTCTCCCACAGAGTCCCATGCATTAGCTGGTGTCAACCGACGGCCGCCGGTGGTTCCGCTTGATCCCAGCAAGACAAACCTCGATCCGCAATCCAGCCTAGTACAATAGAGATCAGCTGTCTGCGTTCCCAAACTCGGGAAGCAGACGACGAAAGTCTGCGTTCGTTGGCAGCCACATGAGCAGAAATGGAGAGAGAATAAGACGCCAGTATCATTATGTAAAATCCAGGGAGTACGGATGTGTGGAAGTCATGATAACATCCGCTTCAAGTGGATGAGAGTATTTTTGGGAGAGCGTTGAAAACCTTGCGAAGCAATTTCAGATAGATTCTTAAAAGAACAAAAACAAGAAATAATAGCAACAAGGCAAAGCACAACTTTATTTCTTCTTTTTGACATGCTGAGTACATGTAATGGATTAAACTTTTGGCTAATTTACGAAATTGCGGGCACCGTTCCCCAGATTGCTTTAATTTTGTACTTAATTTTACCGTTTCTGCATAAACTTGAAATTTCATGATTTAATAAAAATGCAATAAAACTAAGTATTAAAACTTTAACACAAGCATTTCAATGACAGTTCTAGAAAAAAAGTGTCAAAGCTAACACTCGACTCCAAGTTAAATTAATAAATTTCACAAAAGCTTTTTTAACTTTTATTTGGACTCAAAAATGGCGTTCCTTGGTGTTGCTCTTGTAGTCCGATATCGTACATAATGATAATTAGGTACCCCCCTAACGTTTCATAATACGCCACGGTTTGTCGCAATCTTTTTTTCCAAACTGCCATAAGGTTCTATAAAATTAAAAAAAAATATAAAATGTGATATAAGCAAACATAAAATTTATTTCTTCAAAACTAAATACACTTCCTTGAGCTTAGAAATGTTCAAATTGACGTTTTCATGCGTATCCTAGACACAAAAAAATATTAACGCGTGTTTTGTGGCATAGAATAACCCATTCGTGTTGAACACACAAAAATAAACAATAAATGACAAGATAATTCCTTTGTTTCATTTTTTTCTTTTGTATGAGATACTGTCATCGCATTCCTATTATAATCAAAAAAATGTAGGGAAGCAAGGATTCAAGAATTTAGTAGCTAGAAACATGTTAAAAATATGGCTTGATTCACTGTTAAGATTTATTATACAGCAAAACCACATAAGTACGTCAATATCTCATCAAAACGTATCTATTCTTGGCACACTGTTACCATAAGTAACGCCGGAGTTTCCGTGTCCGTAACATTAAGAACAAAATGGTATTCATCTCTGATCCTAAAAGACCTCCTTCCAAAGTTCACACACGTGGTTTCGATACGCGCGAACCTCCGTAAAGTTGCTGGCTGCCAGAAGCATTGAAACCGGTGCATCCTTTGTGTATCTCGGCCACGTGTCGACATCTGGGAGCTTCGGGACGCTGCGTAAACAAATGACGCCATTAAAGAATATTCCATTCACCTGAAATATGTAATTATTCAAAGGCTGGATCTAATTGCTTTGCCGGTAGCGCTTTGGCTGATGTTTTGCTTTACTAAGGTATCAACCGGTGTAAAAGGACACAAATTGTTACAACAAATAAGATATTTGAAGGAGATATTCCATTGTAATCCTGATAACAACTTTGTTAAGCCGATTTAGTTCCGCGGTTAAAATAATGCATTCCTCTAGAAACTTTCTTTTTAATTATCTGCGTAGGTTGCTCGGAGTGTAAAGAGGTACAAAGGGGGGTTCTCCTTTGTGTATATACGGTATATGCGGTAAATATGTGCTTTGTGAGCTTAAGAAAAGTCCTCCATTGTGTTTAGTACAAAAAGTAGAGTAAATTTCTTGCATCGTGCTGTAATCTAAAAGTCTAAAATTCGTAAATCAACATACCCTGTTTTTGCAAACGATGTAAGCATTGCGACCATGGCCTCACTGATCAGCCTGTCTTCGTCGCTATATCCAGCATCACTGTCAAGAGGTAGTGCCAGAAAGAAAGCAACCTCTGTGTGGTGAGGAGCACCCATCCACGACGGAAGTCCATCCTTCTTTGATTTATGAGCGTAAACGTAAAAATATACGGGGCTCCCTCTTGCTGAGTGTTTTTCGGCAAGAAACTGTCCAGGGCACTTGAATGCTCTGTCCGATAGGTAGTCTATGTAAGCACGCCGCAATCCTTCTTTGTCTCCTGGAGGTACCCTGTCCATATACTCCGAGAGGAGACTGGTGTCGTCAGAGTTGATCCAGGATAGCACCGACTTGCGAATCGCGTGGTCAAATTCGTCCTGTGCGAGGTCCTCTAGGGATTCGTTCAAGAGTTCTGGGATGGGAGGCATTACGATTGACAGAGCTCCTTCGTCCGTTGTCACTCCCGTGAGGACCTCGATGTCTTGAAAGAAGCCACGGTCAATGGCAACCGTCGGGACTTTCGGCAAATATTTGTCGTGATAAGTCGGGAGAAATGTGAGTGCAACCGGGTTTGAAACCTCGGTTGTGGCCAGGACCAATTCTTCCGCCTTCTTTGACCGTAAGCACTGCAGAACTTCGTCGGGATGTGACACAAGATCTCTGTTTGCTTCGGCACACCCTACCACCTGAGCAACCTTGTTTCCTCTGATGATACTTTCGTGGGTACCTTCGAAGAAATCCATCGTGTACATAGAACCACTCATCATCACTGCTCTTTTGAACAGCCCCTTGCCCATGGGCGATAACACGTGACTGTGAGCGCTCATGCCTCCCGCACTTTCTCCGAAGATAGTGACCATGGAAGGATCTCCCCCAAAGGCTTTGATGTTGTCTCGTACCCACTTCAGCGCGAGGTTCTGGTCCAAGAGTCCCTGGTTACCAGGCGCGTCCGGAGAGTTGGCGTTGAGGAAGCCAAGCATGCCTATGCGATAATTGATGGACACAACCACAAATCCCGTCTTGGCCGCCAGAACTGAACCGGTGTAGATCTCGTATGACGCGGTACCAAAATTGAAACCACCCCCGTGTATCCAGACAAGGACGTTGCTTTTCTGGGCGTTTTGGGGCATCCAGACATTGAGGTGAAGGCAGTCTTCTGTATATGTGAGTGGTTTCTTCTTGTTCTCAAATATGGGCTGCTGGGGACAAGCGCTGCCTCCAGTCGTTGCGTCGTAGGTTCCTTTCCAAGGTGATCGAGGTACCGGCTCTTTGAACCGTAAATCCCCAATCGGTGGTTCCGCGTACGGAATTCCGACGTACTCCTCGATCACGTTCCCTAGGATTTTCAGCCGGTTTCCTCTCAGCTTGCCAAGCTTAGTATTGCGTTCTACGTGGTCGGACTGACAGTATGCTGCGGTGAAAACAAGCGCAACCCAGACTGCTTTTGTGGTCTTCATTGTTCCTGAAACAATATTTAAACAAAAATATTTTAGTGAAAACATCAGCAAAAGGCATAAAAAGTGCACAAGTATTCTTATCAGGCATCACGTCCTGAGGAAAAGTTGCGGCTCCAATCCACGCTGTGAAAGTGGTTGGTCAGCGAAGCTGTGGTATCGCCTGCAACGGTCGCCTACTGCCCTATACGAAATGCCGCCGCCAGTCGCAGCCCGCTGCCGCTGACCGTATTGCCGTTTCTTTTCCCTTTGCCGCTCCTAGTATTCACGCTGCTTCTCAGGAGTCCTAACTACGCGTGGCATATTAATCGCGGTGCTGCAGCAACAATGAAATCAGTTGCTATACTCATCTTACGTTTAAGCGCAGCGGATGTTAGGAGCCATCGGAGCCAATCGGAGGCTGTGTGAGTGCCACGGGATTTTGGAGAGGGGGCACAGCAACGCGCGGAAAACGTATCACGAGCCACGTTCGCAGAACGGGATGGGCTAAGATAGCTCGTAGCATCCGCTCTATAGAAACAACTTAACTCTGACCGCCCTTTTACTTTGTTTGTGTTTAAAGAGTCGCCTTCAGAAGAAGCAGAAAGCAGACGACAAGTTCATTGAACCTCGGCTCATTGCCCGCCCGGTACGCGGGTCGTGGCGGCATCTCCAAGACATCACTATGCAGGAAATGGCATTGTGACAATAGACGCTATATAAGACCGCCGAAAAACGATTCATCGAGCACGAAGCATACGATAGGCAACGTCATACGTTTATTATGGAGCCAGTAACTCCTTACCTCATTGGAAAGTGCGAAAAGTATGTGTAGGCACACTGGGATAACAATATTTTTTTTTTGTATTTTATTTTATTTTGACTTTATTTACTGAGGGCCTGAAAACGGCAAGGCGGGACGTGCCCCCCCCCCCCCCCCCCCCGGACCGTCGTATATCCGCAGCCAATCATATTGCGGAATCATTTATAAAGAGCGTTCAAGAGCGAATCGCACAGGAAAGATCGGAGTACGCCACGCCCTGTGTGTCTTAATTTAAACTTTGGATTGGGCTAGTTCGTTCATTTTTACCTAGGGAAGTTAAAAATGCAGATAAAAAAAAGACGATTAAGAAACACACACAACAGTGTCCGGCGCTAACTTTCGACTGATTTAATTGAGGCAGTCAAACCAGCACACAGGCGGAATCATTCTTGCCTATCATGGCAACCTATTGTGATAAATGCTATAATATAAACACAAACAACATGCGGCATTGCTTCAAACATCCGTATCAGTTCAACACAGACTCTACACATACCCGTCTACTAAAAAAACTTCCTTGTCATTTAGTAAAATCGTAGGCGTACTTACGCTGTTTTCACATGAGGATTTTGTAAGATGCGCTTCGACTACTTCCCTTTCAGTCTCGGTATTTGATCCGACTGACCGTGAGTATAGCAGGCCGGCGTTGCGAACAGCTTTTTTCCCCTAATGTTCTCATTCGGTACGGTTGAACTTACCTTCGTCTTCTGCATCGATGGATCAACCCGACGGAATGCGCATTCCTGTAGTTCTGGCACCGGGACCTCGATTGTTGCAGAGCACGGGAGGTAGAAGGGCCCTCGACGCTAATCTGGGGCTAGGACGCTTTATCACGGGACATTCTATAGAACTGTCTTCGAACAGCAGACGCCTCTCCTACCACCTCTCGGGTTCTCGTCCGCGTTATCTGGTTTTGCCCCTTCTCCTAGAGACGAGTGTCTGCTATTAAAGATAATATGGCGAACTGGGGAGAAAATATTGCCAACAACATGTTGTTTTTTTTTGTCCTTCACCTCGCGAATCACCGAAGCCGGCGGGGCCACTCAAGGTCAAAGCCGACGCGCTTCAAAAATAAAACACCGAGAAAAGCACTCAGCAACGCAGATGCATCGTAGGGAAGCCGTGGAGCCGGCGGGGGCACCGCGCCTGCATAGTGGGGGAGCGTGATGTTACCGCTGGAGCGCCGTGAGAAAAAAAAAAAAGGTCTTGGCGCGCTGCCATGTAGGAATGCTTTCGTATTCCTAGACGCAAGCAGTCCTAAGTGTCTTTCTGAGCTTTTTTCTCGTAACTGTCTCCTGAAGTTTTTGTTGATCTTGCGCGTTTTGGCCATGGTGGTCAAAACTGCCGGCGCGGACGTGCACTCCGATAAGAGACCGAAACCTAGAAACACGCATAAATTAAGCAATTTCTCGGAACGCCGTACAATAATAAGCGTGCCTTATATTATTGAAATATGAATGAAATCAGTAGTTTTTGGACGACTCGCGTAAAGTTTCTTATTTAAACCGTACCTTTAAACTTAATTATGAATGATTTAATTCCAAGAAGTACATTATTACCCAATTATAATGAGCGCTAATAATTTTCCCTAATGGGTCCTTTGCCACAGACACCTGCGGTATCAACCTTTCGACTCTGCTACGCGTAGTTTTCGCAGGAGCGTTTTGGCCCACGTTTCTGAAACCCCCTGTAGATAGTGAATGATGCTATTAATGTTAACGGTATTATTGTGGTTGTTGTCGTTGTCGTTGTTGTTGTTGATGATGAAGATAATGATAATAAAAGTGCCACGGAACTCATCAGTAGAACACGAAGATATCGAAGAATGGTTTCTTATACCGATTAAAACTGCTCCATCATCCTACATTCTCCGTCTGCAAAACCGACATAGGTTGTTTTCTCTCCTTGCATGACGTTCGTATCAAATATGCTATGCAAAAATTGTCTGTCTAATTTTGACATAAACATGTGTATGTCACACAAGCATACTTCTCACATGTGTGCGCCGGTTCGAAGCGGGCAGCTTATCTTACTGCACGAGCTACCCACATGCAGATGTCGTTACCACGTCAGTACTTATCGGTCAATTTGCGTAATGACTTCAGTAATACAATGAAACGCGGTTCTCGCAATGAATTCGCGTTTTTATTTTAGATAACAGTAGATAAGAAAACACATCCTGTTCATTCATAGAATGGTTTACACATCGAAAAACAACGTGTATAAAGTGTGTCCCTCAGGTGCAGCGGAGAAAAACTTACCGGAAAAAAGCTCACCGGAGAAATGCTCACCCGAGAACAGCTCACCAGGAAAAAGCTCACCACAAAACTCTCTGATGCAGAGAAAAGCTCACCAGCCTTTGAACGGAAGCGGAGAAAGCTCACCGACGAATCTAAGAATCGAGCGTTCACTGAAGTGAAATACGCTCACTCGGGTGAAATACGCTCACTCGGGTGAAATGCGCTCACTCGGGTGAAACATGTTCACTCCTCTGAGGTATGTTGGGATGCGTTTAGCGCATGTGATCCTTCTGAACTTTGCTAGAAGAATTTATACTTTCAAGTATAAACATCGTCCTGCCCGACGAAAATAAAAGAATTATATTCCATAGAACGCAAATTGAAAAATAACAATGAAAAATGTAACATGTGTAGAGGGTAGCAGCATGAGGTTTTTCTCAATATCTATTAATGAAATGACCTTTAATGTAGTATACCGACACCGCACTGCAGGATCTTCACATTCGGCCATTTGTTTCAGAAGCCGTGGTTTTAATGCATACATAAGTTCGAACGGCGAAAAAATGCGGTAGTTTCTCTAGCCCAGCTACCTCAGAATTAGATATGGTAACACTCACGCGAAATGGATCCACATATAATCGGAACCAGATAGCAGCCAGGGGGAGGAATAAGAACCAAGAAAATTTAAATCGGGATTTTAGTCATGATTTAAGTCAAACTTTTTGCGCAGATAATAATCTTCAAAAACGCATTTATTTAATCTACTGTTCTGTTTGTTATTTTATGCTTTCTACGCGCACATGTTCTGTATTTATATTAAAGATTCATCGCACGTGCAATATTAATATCGGGCTGAACACAAGCAAAAATCTTCGGAGCAAATCGATGGGCTTAGCTTTGTTCTACCATCGACTTCGTTGGTCAGGTCAGTTACATCCCATCATTTTGCAATCAAATCAGAACGCGAAAGATGGAAACGAAAACTGGGAAAGTAATGACGTACTGGGAGAAAATGAGATCGCGAAAAAAAAGCATATACAGCGTTCTTGCTAACAATAAGACTAAGCTTTTTTAGTTCTGGTTTTTTATAAAGGAAAAACTTGCTAAAACGGTGATAATTCTTTTTTCCTTATTGTTTTCACTGACTGAAACTGAAATAAATATAATATATATAAAAATAAAATGAAATAAATATAACTAAAATTAAAAACAATTTGTATCCTTTTTTTTTGCTTAGGTTACAGCAGAGCGATTTAATGGGAAGTGTCTACGCTGCGTGACACTGTCAAGACAAAGGATAGGATTTTTTTTTTTTTTAGATTTTAGGTGGTTGCCATTAGAACTACTACTGCGGGGCACAAACTTGAGCGATGACAGTTTGGCTCTGGTCAACCCTTTCTCAAAGTAAAATGCGAAAAGTGACTTCGCGCTAACTGTGTTGCGCAGTGTACCATTGAAGTGAGAGGCCTACAAAACATTGGTATTATTACTGCTAATAAATGATAAGCGACCGCTTTACATCAATAGTTTATTGGACGTGAGCTTTTCTTCTCGTTTGTAAACAGCTGGTAAGCTTTTCTCCGGGCCCGCACAAAAGTGGATGAGCTTTTCTCCGCTGTGCTTATCTTCGGTAAGCTTTTCCCCGGTGAGATTTTTCACCGGGATTCGTCAGTCAGTACACCTGATGTGTACATCATTCGCTTCTCTTCATGTTTTGTGCACTATTTTATCGTGTGTGATTCCAGTGTGCGATTCCAATATGAGCCGATGAGAGCTCGCCGCGTCAAATAACCGTTAAAGGTTCGATGAAGACACTGCGTCTGCATTCAAGTGTTGTCAAATCACGAAAAGTACTTCAAGAAGCAAAAAATCTCCCCACACGCGCGGTAATGCAGGAGACTTATCACACTTATCATATTTAATTCGTATCATGCTTTAAAAAAACGAGACTTTAGTATGTGCCGTTTCGTTCCATTATAAAATAAGATAGAAAAAAATTGCTTCTGAGTTTTAGATATCTAATCAAATTTCAAATATCTAATGTTCGGCCTTTGCGACCAAGGAAATGGGCATTACATTTAAAATGCTCACCGTCCGACAAACCGAACGTCGCAGCTAATTCTACGCCGAAACAAATTGCAAACCTCTTCTTTAAAGTCGCAATTGTTTTTTATGTAAAAAAAGGGTAATGTAGCTTGTACTGTCCAATACATTGAAGCATCATGTTGCTAACGATTGTGCCGTAGCGTAATTGATGCCGCGGTACGACCGCTGGCGGGTCGTAGCTCTATCAGAAATCCTATGTGCACTCCACAAAAGCGGCACCAAAGATTCATATTTTCGCGCGTGCAGCCGCGCATGCGCACACCTTCTGGATAACGCGGCGGTGTCGACACCTGTCGCGATCGATACCACGCGTTTCAGGCCCGAGCCCCTCCGGTTCCAACACTACTCAAGTATTCTATTACACTGTAATATTACAGTCATGTCTCGTTAATATGGACGCCTCCGTTCCCCAGAAAAATCGTCCATAATGTGAATCGTCCATAATAACGAATCAAGGTCAAAAACACAAACATTAGGTAATAAATGTAAAAAAAAGCATTGTTTATTTCGCCAAAGACCGAGGAGATATGAGTTTGCACTGACGCTTTCGATCCCACTTTAGTGTCCAAAAAGCGCAACACTTCGGCCACTTGAAGTGCACGTTCTCCGTCCCCCTCCTGCTCAAGGTAGGCGATCGCGGTCTCCAAGCCACTCCGTCCCCCTCCTGCTTAAGGTAGGCGATCGCTGTCTCCAAGCCACGGCGAGCTTCACATCGAGTAACGGTTGGTCTCTCTTCTTCATCGGCTGTTTCTGTCGGCGCAAAGCTTTCGACAAGTTGATGGCCCTGTTGAGCGGATTCACCGACAAACTCCATGATCTGCTCGTCGCTCATAGGCTCCCAGCTGTTAGTCTCTTCGTCTATATCCAAGAATGCCGATGCCTCTTCATCTGGGTTTTTCTCCCCGAGTTGTCGAAGAGCTTCACGAAGGGCCGCGAGCGGAAGTTTATCCATCGGATCCTCCACCTCCATAGCAGAGCTGTTAACAAGAATACCTGCGTGACGCCAGCAGTTCACAATGGTTTGAGGCCTCACCGCGTCCCACGCCCTCTTCAGCTTTTGAAGGCACCACCTCAAGTCAACAGTTTGCGGTTCGTTGTCTACCGCGCAAGCGATGTAGTGCCGCACACGTTCGCCTCTGTAGTGTGCCTTAACCGCGCGAATAATTCCTGCGTCCAAGGGCTGTATTTTGGCAGTCATGTTGGGCGGAAAGAACTTCAAGGTAAGGTTTTCATAGTCCGCACGAACAGAATGGCATGATGCGTTATCAACCAACAAAACAGCCCTCCTCTTCTCAGCCTTCAAGAAGCGGTCGAATTTTGCCAAGAAGATTTCAAATATCTTTCCTGTCATCTATGCTTTCTTGTTTCAATTGTAGGAGCAATACATGTTCGGGTCAAATGTCTTTCCAAAACATCGTGGCCGCTCCGCTTTTGCCACGACAATGGGCTTCCACTTGTGGGTGCCGCTCGCGTTGCACAAGAATCCCACCGTGATTCTCTCTTTGCTTCGCTTGTTTCCAGCCACAGGTTCGGATGTCATCTTCCGAACCTGTGGCTTTCCAGCCACAGGTTCGGAAGATGGGCCCAACTTGTAAAAAAAGCCAGTCTCGTCGAAGTTGTAAATATCATCTGGAGAATACTGAGCAAGAAATTCCGCAAGCTGTTTCCGAGCACTGGCAACGGCGGCTGTATCCACGCTTCCACTCTCTCCATGAATACGGTGGCTTGAAATTCCATGCCTTCTCTTAAACCTGCTGAGCCAACCCCTTGAGTAGTTCAGGTCAAAAATGTCTGCATAAAGACGTGAAGATTGCAGACATTAAAATAAAACCACTGAAGAGAGAACAGTTATTTTAACGTAGATGCGTAGTTGCACAAGAACGAGCAACTAGAAAAATCATTAGAAGAAACAACATTTTTGGGGAGGAATGCGTAACATTTTGAGAAAACATTTTCAAACTCAGTGCTTAAAAAGATACGCTCAGAACTCACTTACCCGTCGTTGTGCCGAACTCTTTCGCCTTTTCTTGCAGCATCTCGTCGCTGACGGCGGCCCCTCTGGAGCGCATTTCCGCAAATCAGATGTTGACGGCCTCCTCCAACTTCTCAAACTTTGGGGGTCGCTGCCGGCAGGAACTGGAGCTGGCTGTGGGAACGCTCATCCATTTCTTTGATTCTTTTAGAATTGCGTGGACTGTCGATTTTCCGAGATCAACGCCAAGGTTTTTTCCACTCCACTCTTTCACGTACTGAACAGACGCTGAAGGCGTTTCAATTTTGAATTTGCATATCTCCTTTTTCAGCTGAGCAGAAAGCTCTGCCCGTTTACGCTTAACACCTGCCATCGTCTCCACCTCCGAAATGACCGGAGAAGCGTCCAGCCTTGCCTCTTGCCTCTTATGCACAACGAATGTGATTCATCACGTATGCCAACCCGGAAGGAGATGGCATACGTTTAAGCTTGAAAGACAAGAAACAAAAAAAAAAAAAAAAAAAAGACGACCACCTTTAGGCGCCCAGGTCTTATCTCAAGGGCGGAGGACAATAGTGAATTCCGGGTACAAACTGTGACCTCTACGATTCACTAATCTTTTCTTCTGTCGGGTATGTGGACTCGCCTTCAAAGTAACCAGACGGGGAACAAAAAGGCAATGGTGAATTCCGAGTAGTACACACTGGGGTCACTAATATTTTTTTTTCGTGGACACGTGTCCATATTAACGAGACAAAAATGCCTGTATTTTCCCGTTTCGTCCCCAAAATAGCCGTCCATAGTCCGGACTGCGGGTTTCTGTATTAACGGGACAGAATTGCATGGCGGGAGACCGGTCGCCGAAAATTTCGTCCATATTGCGGGGTGTCCCGATTAACGGGGTCCATATTAACGAGACTTGACTGTACCACGTGCGTTGCCCAGCGAGCGCGTGGCAGAATGGTTACCGCGCTTGGTTCTCGCGCGTAGGCTCTCGAGCGGAGTCTCCGGGTTCGATACCAGAAAGCGGACTTCTCTTTTATTTATATCTCCAACTTGACATTCTGGTAAGTTCGAGAATTCTGTCGTCTGATCGAGTTACGAATGTTCTACGCGCCGAACTTTCTACGCCGAGTGTTCCAGAAACGCACGCGGGTACAAAAGGTGCTCAGAGTGGCGGCCCGGAGTCAGTCTCGCCCCAGCGGTCTATCCTGCTGTTTCGCCGACATCGACACCTGCGACGGTAGCTTTTTTCTCCTTTGTTTTTGGAACAAGTTCGCCGCAATAAATGTTTATTTTCTTCAGTTATTCGCTGCCTCATCATTTATCGTTTGTGACAATTTTTTACTCTTTATAGTCAGACTGCATAAAATAGCCTTACGATACTTTTTTTTTTGTAAGCAGTGACAGAGTGCAGGCGAGCTGGTAATTAATTGACATCTTGTAAACCCTGAGATGGGGAACGATGTTGTGTTCGTCCGTTTTTTTTATCGTTCCCCATCTCAGGGTTTACAAGATGTCGACTTTTTTTTTCCCCGTTTTGTGTTGTTGCGTGCTAATAAACCATTCTGGTAACCCAGATTTGCGTAGCTGCATAATTGTCGTTGTCAATGACGTCGATACAAATTAAGCGATGCGTAAGTATCTTCAGAAGTAACTGAAATACATTTCTAAGTATTTGTACTCTACTCAAGATACTTTACAGTGAAAGTAACTTGAGTAGTATTTTAAATACTTTTTGACACAGGTATTTAGTAACTTAACTTGAGTACTTTTAACGAGTATTTTGTCCAACACTGATAGCGACCAACCGAGCAGCGTGAAATAGGCAAGTCACTGCGCCCTTCTCTGTTTATGATTGGATCAGCGATAGTAGAATACTTACACAAACGCGCACACGCCGTGACGGTGCACTTTTGACGATGTCTGATTGGTCCCATCAGCTCGTAGCGTCAGTTGCGTCTACATTTAGGCTTCTAGGCGCTCACAACAATGACGCAGACTTTTTACGCGCCTTGGCGCGACTAAGCGCGAAGTTCCTTTGCATGGTATTGGTAACCACCGCGACCGCGCTCACCAAAGGTCCGTTGTATAGCATCGACTCTTTATGCGTTACATTGTTTTGCTAACCCTGTTGCGTTATATTTCGACGAAAGGAACCCCCCTTCTTGTTTCTCTGGCGTTCCAAGGTTATTGCTATTATAAGGTTGGGTCTCTGAGCGTATTCTCGAACCCTTAACAAGCTGAAACAAAGTATATGAGGACATTTTGTTCTTTCGAAGAATCAGGAGATCTGTATGAGAACGCTTTCGATCCCTCTTCATGACTGTGAGCTTTTGTTTTTCAGCAGATTACGCATGGGGACGGTCATGGGATTTAATTTATCTTTTTTTGTTATTTGGCGCGAGTGCGATGATTGGCGTTACTTTCGAGATAGTCGGTTGACAGTCAGCAATTCGCCTCAGTACTCTTCTCTGTCCTTCGTCGTTTATACCGCGCTGTTTTTTGTTTTTTTTTCTTTGTTTTTTTTTCGTAGTTATACATAATCAACTTGCACAAATTTTCACTGTGCTCCAATGATCTACCGGTATTTGTCACTTCTGTTCATAGGGCGGACTGACAGCCTAGGTAGCGAGCGCCCCCGAACGGACACGCCACGAGAGCTTGTAAGCTGACTTTGATCTATAGTAAAGCTGGTTCTGGCTACACTTTTCTCAGTTTGAAACACTGGAATCAAGTCACATTGGGCCTGCTTAAAGGACACTTCGTCAAACTCATTACCACCGTGTTTTTCGTCGATTATTGACCCCATCAGGGAAAGACGGACGCGTCTGCTGCTTTGTACCGACTCTTGTCGAGCTCTTGTCTCTTGTCGAGCGGGTGAGTTGGAGATCCGCTAACAATAATGTCATAATAAACTGATTCTGATTCTGATTCATACACAGACAGGCTTTACCTTCTAAGCGGTATTAGAGTAACCGTGCTGGAGACGGTGCTTTTCCTCATCACATTATATTTATAAGGTCTGATTATTCTTATATACTTTTCCTGTATGCCTCTTGTCAGTCTTTTTCTATACACATAATCAAAACTCAAACGGGAAACGTCAGCTCTGAACAACGTCTGGCTTTCTCGCTGAACACACCCGAAAAACAAGACCACGAGAATACTATTTGTCTTTTTTATGAACTATTTTAATGGCAATACTATCGACGTAATTAAATCTGTCAGTAGAGCGGGGGACCGGAGCTTTTGGGAACAGTAACTCAAAGCACGTTCAAGGTATCGCTTGATTTATTGACAAGTGTGATTATGCAGATATGGTCAAGATTGGTTATACAGATAAACACAACGTTTGAGGTATGGCCCGATTCACTCTTCATATTCGCTATACAACTATAACGCGTAAACACGCAGACATTTCATAGAAATATGTTTATTCTTGACACAGTGGTAGCACGAAGCGTCGTCTGAGTTTTTTGTGTTGTGTAATGCTAAAGATGAAAAAGGTTATTGTTCTTTGATACTAAAACACCTTCCTCCAAAGTTCGCACAGGTCATTTCGATACGCGCGAACCTCCGTAAAGTTGTCAGGTGCCAGCAACGTTGAAACTGGTGAATCCTTTGTGTACTTCGGCCATGTGTCGACGCCTGGGAGCTTTGGGACGCTGCGGAAACAAATGAAACGATTATACAACATTTGATTCACGGGAAATATATTCCGCGATTAATCGAAGGCTAGGTTTACTCGATTACCTCAGTGGGGCCTTGACTGCTTTATTTTGCATAGTTTCTTAGAGACCATACAAGGTATTTAATATACCGCGAGCACTCTAGCGCTACGATCCCACTTTGGACGGATTCGCCGAAATCGGTTTCTCAGCGTATCGCGCTGAGATTTATTGCAGAGGTGCCCGAATGTGGCGCATGCATTAATTGGGAGTACGAATACATGAAACCTCCGGAGTCAAAGGAGAGAAAATAGGAACTGGTTTTGTCTATGAAAAATTATCGCTAAGCCTTCTTTCTCAAAATCATCAAAATATTTATGGGCTATTCTGACGTTTATTACGACTGAAAAATCGGTGAAATGAAAATAATATGCAATAGCATTACCTCTTCTTCACTTCATTTGGTCAAAATTAAGCGCCACAGTGACACAAAATAATATTAAAGTGTACATGCAAAGTACAGGGAAAATACAGTTGGTTGTTCGTGATTTGCTCAGCACAATTTTAGTGAAAGCTTCGACAACCTTCGGGCATCAGTGCAGTAAATCATAGCACGATACGTAAAGAACCCGATTTATGCGGACCGTTCAAAGTGGGATCGAAGTGTTCATGGGCGTACCAACCGGGGGGTAGGGGGGGGGGGGGCGCAAGGGGGCGCTTGCCCCCCCCCCCCCCCCAAGTCGTGAGAGTGGGGGCAAGGCATGTGTTTCGCCCCCCCCCCCGAGACAGCCGTCACTGGGCAGGGCAAACGCTGGCTGGCGGCGACCAAGGGATACCGATTGGGCACCGCCCCCCGGCCCTGGGGGGTGGCGGGGGGGGGGGGGGGCTGTCGGGTCGGGTCTGGTTTGCCCCCCACCCAAGAACAAGTTGGTACGCCACTGGAAGTGTTAGTGTACACGCTGTAGTATGTTGCAAATCCATCTGCAATCCCACGACAGACTTAGTCTTTCAACAGGCTATGCTTTTAATACCTCCGTGAAACTGATCAAACAACAAACTGCCGAATAACTAATAATGCAATACTAGCAGACTAACTTCACGATTGTTTCTTCGGTCAAAAGTGCACTAAGGAAGTATTTGTCTCGCTGTCAAACTCAACATAAAATAGTAACCACTGGTTGGTCTTCTGCTCCCTTGAAACGCCGTGTGTTTCAAGGGAGCATAAACGCCGTATGATAGAAAAACAGATATTCACGTGTGTTTACACACGTAAATATGAAGTACCTTAGAATATCTATCGCCAATATCACTAACCAACTCAGGAGGTAATGTACACCTGTCTCGAGCACCTTCCCACATGCTGCAATAGTTTCATGGTTATTTACAGCCTAAGAATGCTAGGGTGTAACTTACTGTGTTCACGCTTCTCGCATCGTGATTTGTTTTTCTGCGGTCATAATAAATAATATTACAGCCTTGTTGGCTGCAGAACGAATATTTAGCTGCCTGGGATCCGTTACACTGTTCATTTCTTAAGTTTTCAATTATTATAGCAAATGGGAGCTTGATATATGTTTCAGGTGTATAAATGTTCTTGACTCCTCTCTTCCTCTTACAAAGGACTGTGGCATTTGAATCCACGGCAAACAAACTAGAAAATAAAAAAAAAAGGTTTCATTAAGCTGTACGTTTTTTTATATCTTCAGAGTATATATTACTCGAGGCTTTTTTTCAATTGTATAATGTTTTATTTGTGATTTGGTAAATAATAACAATTTCATGCGGCCCCCTTTTTAACAAACAAACAGAAAAAAACATTCTATTATAGGAAAGCAATTATATGATTAAAAACCATGATCGATGCACTTTTGCAGGGGATAATTTGTTTGTTCAACCCATTGCATTTCGTTATTAAGAATTCATTATATATAATTACGGCAGACATGTTTATTTATATGAGCAGGCTGTGTGTAGTCTATAGATATAAAGACCAATTATCTGTAAACGCGCAACATTTTGGTCAGTTTGGATTAAAATGTTTAGATCAATATCGATAACTGAGTAGCTTGAACCATCATTAATAAACCCCTTCATTTTGCAACGAGGGTCTCAAGAATGCTTCCTGCCCGAGAATTGAGAAACTAAGCAAACAGCGCATTTTGCTTAAGATGGGGAACTGGTCAATAGATATATCAACATACCCTGTTTCTGCGAATGATGCCAGCATTGTGACCATGTCCCCGCTGATCTTCCTGTCTTCTTCGTTGTAAGACTGATCGTCGTTAAAAGGTTGAGCCATATAGAAAAGAACGTCTGAATAGTGAGGAGCACCCATCCACGTGGGAAGACCATCCTTTTTTGATCTATGAGCAAAAATGTACGAATAGACCGGGCTGCCTCTTGCTGAATGCTTCTCGGCAAGGAACTGCACTGGGCATTTGAATGCTCTGTCCGACACGTAGTCGATGTAAGCCCGCCTCAAGCCTTCCTTGTCTCCAGGAGGTACATTGTCCTTATACTCTTGAAGCAGACTGCTGATACCTGATTTGATCCAAGCGAGCACCGACCTGCGGATCGCGTTGTCAAAGTTGTCCAGCGTCAGGTCCTCCAAGGATTCTTTTAGGAGTTCCGGGGTTTGAGGGAACAGGACCGACATAGCTGCTTCATCTGTCGCGACACCAGTAAGGATCTCGACGTCTTGAAAGAATCCACGGTCAATGGCGACTTTGGGGACTTTCGGCAAAAATTTGTCGTGGTACGTCGGGAGGAAGGTGAATAGAACCGGGTCTGAGACCTCGCTTGACGCCAGAACCAATTCATCCGCCTTCTTTGACCGCAAGCACTGCAGGACTTTGTCGGGATTGGACACAAGATCTATGTCCGGTTCCGCACAGCCTACCAACTGAGCAACTTCGTTTCCCCTGATGATACTTTCGTGGGCACTCTCAAAAAAATCCATATTGTACATTGAACCACTTATCAACATCGCTCTCTTGAAGAGCCCCTTGCTCATCGGAGATAAAATGTGACTGTGAACGCTCATGCTCCCCGCACTGGCTCCGAAGATAGTAACTGTGGCGGGATCACCACCAAAGGACTCGATATTGTCTTGCACCCACCTCAGCGCAAGATTCTGGTCCAAGAGTCCCTGGTTACCGGGAGCGTCGGGAAAGTTCGCGTTGAGGAAGCCAAGTATGCCCAGGCGGTAGTTCATGGACACAATCACAAATCCTGTCTTGGCCGCCAAAGCGGAACCGGTGTAATTGTCGTACAACCCGCTTCCGAATGTGAAACCACCACCGTGTATCCATACAAGAACATGGCTTTTCTGCGCATTTTGGGACATCCACACATTGAGGTGAAGACAGTCTTCAGTACATATTACTGGTTTCTTTGCGTTGAGGAATGTGGGTTTCTGAGGACAAGCGCTGCCTCCAATCGTAGCATCGTAGGTTCCTTTCCAGGGTGAACGAGGTACTGGCTCTTTGAACCGTAGATCGCCAATCGGTGGTTCCGCGTACGGAATTCCGACGTACTCCTCGATGACGTTCCCCATCACTTTCAGCCGGTTTCCCCTCAGCTTGCCAAGTCGTGTCTGCCGTTCTACGGTGTCAGCTTCGCAGTATGCTGAGGTGACCAGAAGCGCAATCCAGACTGCCCTTGCCATGTTTAGAGTTCCTGAAACACAAAGAAGCGAACTGTTATTTCATTCACCATGATGACTGGGCTTTATTAAATGGAGGGATGAAAAATATTGTATATTTCTCGCGAGTGCTCAATTTTTGCTGCCCAAATGGCTGAACATTAAGTACGAATGGTAATAAAACTTTAGCAGATGCAAAAAAAAAAAATTAGCAATTATGTTATTTTCGTAACTATATTAGAAAGTACAATTTATGTATATTATAGTTGACTAATAGTCTATAAAAATACCAGGTGTTTCTGCGAATACTTTAAAAAAACTCGAACAATAGGGTGTTAGAGAAAACAAAAACGAGCTATTTTCAGGAAAAAACGTCCGCCTCGGCGGACGCCAGGGATACCAAAAAACATCCTAATTAGCGACTTACTTCTCTAAAGTTTACTGGTTAAATTTTGTATTGGTGAAAATGAACGTATTAATCCAGTTAGACACTAGCAGAGAGTCATTGAATACCCCTAAATATGTAAATTTCAGGGTAAAAACACGTGGGAGGCACGAGGGTGTGATAAAGTTTTTATTCGTGCAGCAAGGACGGTGGTGCGCAAGGATGGTGGTGCGAAAACACAAATGATAATATTATCTCGACCAACTGGTGCACGCTGCTAAGTTACAGTGCTGCTAAATACGAAGCTACGTATGGGGACGAACAACGGACGAAACATCTTTGCAACTGCCAGCTTGAACATTTTTTGGTGGTCCGCGACGCCGACGACAGCCACCGCTCAAGCAATGGCCTCGAGTAAAGATGCAGAGCGCAAGTTCGTCTGCTTCTTCTGCGGGGGTTGTGGTGACGCCAGAAAGCCGTCTGATTGACTATGATTGAAGAATAGTGGGTAGATCTCAAGGCAGCTTGCTTTGAGGTCTACCCACTATCCTTCCATCAGAGCCAATCAGAGCCAATCAAAGCTCGGCGTTCTGGCGTCACCGCAACCTCGGCAAGAAAAAGCAGACGAACTGACGCTCCGCCTTGCACCTGCTGCACAAGTGGTAACTTTAGCACGTAGATCTGAGTTAACCCAAGACATGCCCACCATCTCTACTTGCTGCTCAAGGGAGTGGAGTGTGTTTCCTTGTCGTACAAAGCGCAGTTCGCAATCACACAATTAGAACCTAACCATATATACTCAATAAATATTGCATAGATAGCATTGGCATTAATAGTTTAGATCGCAAACTAATGTACCAACTTTTTCTATAGTATGTATTATGGTATGTAAACCGTTTAGATGATGTTTTTTTTGTGCGCGCGTCACTTTGATTGTTTTCTGCATTTCCGTCACTATCTACCAAGCACTCGGGGACCGGAGATCGTCCAGCCAACAAAGATCGGCTTTTTTGTCCGTGGCTCCGGCATCTGTATATTGAGATTCAAGATTTGTTTTCTTTTTTTATTGTGCAGCTAGAACATGGTCATCATATATTTTCTGCAGTGCCAGTAACAAAACCTGTGTACGATGGCGGAGAGGCCCAAGGCTGCCTCCATCGGCGTTTCTTTTCATGAGTTTTCACAGTCGCATCCATGAACGCACTTTTTTTTACTTATTTTTCGTTTCAAAACTCTTCTCCGGATGTTTCACTCAGCATAAACTGACTGTAGGACGGCATCACCCCACGAGCACGTGACTAAAACGAATAACAAGATGCTCTCTAATGAAGAACGCAGCCATTTTTAAGTCTCTGAAACGTTCGTAGGACCAGTTGTCGACACGAGCGTCTGAGAACCCTGAAATCATTGCGGAGTTTCTCACTCACGTGTAATAAAATCCCGCATCTTCCGATGTTGATGTTGTTGTTGGTATTGATTACGTGCCCAAAAACACCATGAGTGTTTTAACATTGGTGCATCGCAAAAATCACTTCCGCATAAAAATTAAAAACAAAATCAACTTGACTAAGTCGTAATAAATTTTATTACAAGTATATGCAGCTGTTCAAAGATAAAACAAGGCATGAAAAAGAAATCGTGCTGGACATAGATGGCTATCGCAAGAAATCGGAATTCGATGTGATGATGATCCTTCAAATTGCTCGTCAAAATAAAACGCCTTGCAATGTCGCGTGAAACTAGCTGGGATGCGTAACTTTATTCTGGCCTAAAATCAGGTACATCAGTATGGCCTTAGATGAGTTTTGTAACAACACTACACTCGACAATTTCTACGGTCACTTAAAGCGCTGAGATTCGAAACCCTAACAAGAGAATGGTATTGGAAGTGTAGTCTCCTGGTGAACGTGCCTACTATAGACTTTGCGAACCGAACGCCTTTGTACCGCTTCAATACGATCCCATTCACTTTCCGATAAATCGTTTCACGCCGCGGCACAAACGAATTTAAGTCGGGGTCTAAAAAATGCACAAAAGAAACGAAACATAGCACCCGGTGCTCGAAAGTGCCGAGTCATGCGTGAAATCATGCCCGGCAAATGGTAGTGACATGTGATTTCAACGTGAGTTATCAATCGACCGATACACCAAGCTCCCTGATCAGATCAGCTCGAGTAATGGTACATTTTTACAACTCCTACCTAAGCTGTAAGAGATCTCTTCATTTTGAAAGCTTGATAACTTTTGTTTTGTTCGCGCTCGGAGGCAATCAGTTCAACGAGCACCATTTTGAAATACTCAAAATATGCGTCCCATGCTCCTACTCATCTAGATTCCCGTGAAAACAAATTAGGAGGCATACAACAACCTGAATACCCCCGCATTTTAAACATATGGACGCACGACTCTATTTACATTGTCGATTAAATTAAGAAAACTCTTAAACATGACAGCAATGGTTTTATTTATTTTTTATCACAGTGCTTATATTGGTTAATCCTCTTGCTCCTGTCCTACATGCGCTATTTAATTTGTATTAGTATTACATTATTCGTATACTCAACCAATCGTACGAAACTAGCTGTCAAGACTGTGGCGGCTGCAAACTAAGTAGGCAAATGTACGACATGCAGTTCTTTACGCTTTATAGACGAAAGCGGGAGAAAAAAAACGCCAAGAAGAGCGTCTCATTTCACTTCGTTTCATTCTATTTCACTGCACTCGACCCAAACACTTGAGTGTCCCTTGGAAACTGTTAAACCTGGGAGAGTGCACGCTCATTAACCTAGAGTTTAACTAAATTTCCACCCTATCTCTATTCGCCACCTTTTGGCTCCCCCCCCCCCCCCCCCCCCGGTCTCCCCTTCCCCAGGCCGGGTAGCGACTTGCCCTGTAGAGGAGTCCAACGTCTCTTCCTCCTGTTCCGCCCTTTCTCTGGACCTCAAAGCACCAAACCAAACCACTTCACTTGACATATCTTCCGTAGCGTGTGTACTTACGATTGGGCTTATCAAAATCCAAGGCGAAACCCGAAAAGAAAACAGGCATCGCGCAACAATATATAAAGAGAAACGGTTAAGAAAAGACCATTCGAAAAAAAACACACCCGACAACCACCACACGAAGGCACCGACGACTCGCAATACCACTTCGCCCGCCAACGGGCCTCGAATGGATGACGTAGTAACCTTCCCCTTCAAAGTAATCCAACATCGTTCACTTTTGCAAAAGCAATATCGGCTGTGACAATAGAAGAACAAGGTATACCTCACGCGTTTTCATACCTTCCCAATATTTCCCGTAAGAGTCTTCCTCTAAATTCGCAGCACAAAAGGATTTCAAGGGGGACCTATATGTTTTCTCGCATGGCAGCCATCGTGACGCGTCTCGACAATTGGCGCGATGTGTGTCAATGAGCGACACAAAAGGATGTTATTTTCCGTCGCCCGATTCGCCTCGGTGGCGCCCAGGCCTTTCTTTTTTTTAGGTGGGTGCATATTTTGCTCGAGCATCCTTTCTGACCTTTTGTACCTCAATCGCTCGCTCTCACCCAACGCTCTCGCCCCGGCGAGCTTGCGCAACTTTAGGCGCAACGCTTGCAGCGCAGCCTTGGCTCTGAATACGAGGAATTCGCTCTGCTGGAGGCCAGCGGCGAGCTCTTCAGCGGCAGTGTTCGGCGGCCCAGAATTCGACTATGACTCCCCGTGTTGAGATACGGCTATCATTAGCACGTCAAAGCAAAACCTCTCGAGAAATGCAAAGAAAAATAATAAATCACGGTTTAATTCACTATTTAAATTATATTGATTTTTATTTTCCATTCTCGTTTTGATGAGGCTTCTCGCCTCGTGATTCCTTCTCTAGTATTCTGCGCTGGCCAATATTATCGTCTATGGAGCAATAATAAGTTACAAGACATATTCGCAACTCCAACGCCCTATAGATGGCGGGACAGTAGTCCCAAGATGGCGGAAGAGATGGGGTACAGATTCTCCAGGATTTCCCGTGCGCTTGCTCTCTGAGGCTGGTCAATCTGCTAAAATTAACCTATTTGACCACAAAAACGAAGCAGTCAGGGCAGGAGCATATCACAGGTAACGGAGATGCTGACCTAGGAAAATGAGCGTGTCGATTTTTAAAAGTTGCGAGGGTAAAGACAACAATGCCTGCATGACCGCACTCGCTTTTTTTTTTTTTTTTATGAAATCTGCATGATGCACGAACACACTGACCAGAACCATGCGACAACCGCAGCAACAAGGTTGACCGTCCCTACCACCGTCGCCGCCGCCGTCCCAGCTTCTCTGATTCTTCGTTCGTCCGCGAGAGGGCGAGCGGCGGGACGGAGTTGCAATAGTAAGCTTAAAACATATTTCATTATACCAAACGTTAAAAAAAAAATATTTTTGTTAGAAATTAATACACATTACAGACGCCCAGTATCGGCTCAAATGGCAAGGGTGAGCTCAACGATGCGCACATCGAGAACAGCTGAACTTACCTCTGTCTTCATCATCAAGCCTACCAACATGACGTGATGCTTCTTTTTGCAACTTTGATACTGCGTCATCGGCTGCTACAACGAGGAAGAGAGAGAGAGAGAGAGAGAGATCGAACTTGACGCTATATCAGGAAAGTACGACGTTTTAT